GCATTTTTCCCCCTAAAAATAAATATTTTAAAAATCTCTCCCTAGTGGCTCCTTATATGGGGGAAATTAAGCAATATTAATGGATAATAATTATTCTTCAGTAGAAGATTTCAGGGCAATGGAAGCAGGTTCTTTTCATAGTTGTTTCTTTATGTCAATCCTTTATAGAAACTATATAGCATTTAGGCCAAAAAGTGACCGTGGAGGAACAGGTTAACGAGGTCCCAGCACAAAGCGTCTGGAACCTAACTGGATCATCTACGATGTCAGCTTGGAAACCAGCAGCATGCAGGAGGTAACACTGTGCACCTCATCCCACGAACTTGTTCAGCATGTCAGAGCCACGGCAGGGTCAGTAGAGACACAAAGAGGGTCTCAGACCCAGAGCCCCATGGCTACAGGAGACAAGGTGGCCTGGGTGCACACACTAACACACACACACACAACACACACACACACACACACACACAATCAAACACTGAACTAGCCTTCTGTGCGCAGACAAAGCACTCAAGGGCTGATTGTGTGCGCGATGTGGGGGGAGGGGAGGGGCAGTCAGGGAATCTGAGTCTGGGATCTATTTCACCTCTTCCAATCACTGGAGAAGGTTTCATGAAAGAGGCAGAATTTCAACCATTAGGTGGGGAAAAACCTCAGCCAGTTTGTAAAGAGAGGAGGCAGGTAAAGAATTTTGAAGTTCACTTTCATAAAAGGCTTTGAAGCTCTCTGCTTGCTTTGAGCAGAGCTCAGCGGGATCTATAACCCAGTGAAAACTCCCCAATGCATGCTGCTACAATAAACAAGCACCACCAAGCATCTGAAACAGGGGTCTCCAAACTTCGAGTGAAACACATATACAGCAGACTTTTTAAATGAAAATATTATATGTAACACCGATACAAAAAAAAAAAAACTTTAAAGCTAATAGCAGAGCTGTGCTGGTGCAAACAGGGACCAGCAGAGACCACGAACCAGGGCACTGGTCCACACTCTCCACAACTCCCGGCAGAGACTTCCCGGGAACACCTAGGGGCCCAACAAGGCAGAGTTTGAGAACCACTGGTCTCTGGCTTAAGGGACTCCAAAACAGTCTGCTCTAGAGTGGTGGTCCCCACACGTTTAAGAGTAAACCTTCATAATCCTTCTATGTATTTTAAAAAAATATATAGATGCACTATGTGCCATTATATTGTACACATTATAAAATATATAAAAACAAAAAAATTTAAGTAGAAGATAAAACAAAAGAAAAAATATTTTTAAATATTTTACTAAAGATACAAAAATCTTTCTGGCTCTCATTAGTGAAAGCAATGAGACTGAAAATACTGTATTATGTAGTAAATCTTTTGTTTTACATTTGGGAACAAAACTGATTCCAAATGATTTGTTTTGGTACTTTGTTTAATGGCTGTAACAGGTGAAAAAGACACCTCACAAAGTTACACTGATCCAAGAACTGCATCATCAGCTGCACTTATTAAATCACCCTATGACCAATTTTTTCAAATTTCTTCTGATTATGGAAAGGTCTTTGCTGAATTCAGCTGATAAATTCCCATCTTCCCCAACATCAAACACTTGCTCATAAAGACTAATCAGAAGGTGTATTTTTCTATTTTTAGCAAAGGGGTTTTAAAACACCCATTGAAGGTGAGTTCGTTTCCCGCTCTTTGTTAGGTATCACCTTTCCTTTGAAGGACCAAGTAATGTACTCACGGGCCATCACAGAAAAGAGTCAGCAAATTTGAGACACTTTCTTTCTAGTGAAAGAAAAATGTGTGCTTTTGCATGAAGTAGCCCGTATAACTCTCTGTGGTTCAAAAGATTTTCCTGATCATTTCTCATCTCGCCACAAGTATTATAAAGATTCTACTACCTGAGAGACTTGCTTTATCAAGGTAACTGCACTGACGGTTACCTGGCACGTAGCCGCGCCCTGTAGGACATGAACCACCTGGGCGATGCTGGCTGCTGCTCATCACCAACAGCTGATGCTGCAGACTCCCAAGCACCCAAACAGTGCACTCAGCAATTCCGACGGCAGCAAGCTACTGTGCACTGAGGCAAACTCACAGGACCTCTGCACGCCTGTCGAAGACAGTGCATCTTTGTAAAGCGGTGACGAATGCCGGGGACG